GTTTTCACTGGACCAGGCGGAGCCGGGTATCCCAGCTAGTGTTCTATACAGAACAATACCAGGTTTAGAAATGCATGCGTAGTCCAGGTCGATGCGCGCCTCTATAGCTCAGTGGCAGAGCGTCTGTCTCGTAAACAGAAGGTCTGCGGTTCAATCCTGCATGGAGGCAACTTGCTTTTGCTCCTAAAGAACATACATGTAAGCATCGAGGGATCCATCATCATGGACGTTTTTGTAAATAGACAGTCTTTCTTCTTCAATTTGGAATGTAGTGAGCAAATGGTTACTTATGAAGTTCTGCAAGGGTTGTCTGTGGCAGCAATATTTGCCGTTAGTCAAACCCACACGTGATTATACCTCACTATAGTGACGAATAAAATATCTAACTTCGCATTTGACATTGGCACCAGAATGTACCTACCTATGGTACCTATGGAACTTCCTCGTTTTCTATCGCAGTGAACGTTAGAATCTGCATATGCTCGTGCAGTTCTGACAAAACGCACTGTTGCGGACTAATAATTGTCCGAACACGTGCATCAATTTTGGCAATGCTTTCAGCATTTTCCTTTCGAAAGTTTTCAAGCATTTCTTTGTCATTCGGTTCCATTGTCATCGTATGTGCAACTCAAGCAAGAGTTTTGAGAGATGAGCGAGGTGCTGTTTCCCATACTTTCTTGAAAGCATTGTGATAGCATAGTCATTGGTCAATTGTTATATGGCAATATGTTTCGTTAATCCACTCCATATCATTTGTACATGAGTGAATCAATTTGTTGTTCTGTACTTGAGTGCGATAAAACCTGAGCTAAATCAAAGTCTCATCCCTTTCTGGCTTCTCAAACATACTTTGCTCTTTGAAATTAATAGACGTTGCGCAATCGCTTGGATATTTCAGGATGGTGTTAGCTGATCTTGGTCGGAAAATCCGAAATGCCATCGGAAAGCTCGGGCAAGCCACCATTATCAATGAGGAAGAGCTCGATGCTATGCTCAAGGAGGTACAATATTAATTGTATTCTAGAAATTTGGATATAAACTTCGAAGACCTTCTGGCTACTTTATAGTTCTTGCTTTTTCGATTGAATCTATGTAATTTCAGGTTTGCATGGCACTCATCGAGTCGGACGTTCACATCAGACTAGTAAAGCAGCTGAAAGACAATGTCAAGTAAGTAGCGCTTGCTCAAAATAATCATCTTCCCAGATTCTGAAACACAAGCCTTTTTTCAGAAAAGCTATCAATTTTGAAGAGATGGTTGGCGGAGTAAATAAGCGACGGCTTATCCAGAAAACCGTGTTTAACGAACTGCTCAAGCTCGTGGATCCAGGAGTTACAGCCTATCAACCGAAGAAAGGACAGCCGAATGTGATCATGTTCGTCGGTCTGCAAGGTTCCGGTAAAACAACTACTTGTACAAAGGTGAGCATTATTACTAACCAGGAAAGGATCCGGAAAACCGGCTTTCCACATAAAATGTATACCAGTCTGAAGAGCATCGAGTTGATTCCAAAACTGTCTTTGTTATCTGCCAAGCTTTTTTCGACGCCGACTTACGAGGGTTGGCTCAAAAATTGAAAGCACAACTCGAATAAATTCGTCCAGAATCGCGCTGGCCTAGCGTTGGATATCAGAGCATTTTATGGATAAAGTATCTTTTATTCAATATACTCGTACTCAACACTTCTTTAGTTGATTTCACCTTAATTATTATTTTTCGCTTTAAATGACACTCATATCTCTGCGTCTAAAGGGGCTTGGCAGAAAACAAAGGCGGCTTTGTCAGCATTTGATGCACTTCAGATGGTAATAATCTCATGTATAAAGCCGATTCGACTTTGGGTCCTCCCCTTGTAAGCTAAGAATTTTGTCGTGTAAGTTAGCAACTTCAGATGGCATACTTTTATCAAAGAAAAGGCTGGAAAACTTGTTTGATTTGCGCGGATACGTTCCGTGCTGGTGCTTTCGATCAGCTGAAACAAAATGCCACGAAAGCCAGGATTCCCTTCTACGGTAAGCGCATAGCTTATATTAGGTTGTCCCAAAAGTAAACTCCATTTTTTCGCAT